CCCCCCCCCCCGCCCCTCCTAACTCTCTCCTGTTCCCAGAATCTGCACCCCCCTTCCCCTCCCCACCCCACCCCACTCTTGCAACCCATGTGCCCTCCACCACCCTCAGAACCACAAACTCTGCCCCACGCCAGCAGGGTTTGCCCCGAGTGCCTGCTTGTTACACCACTGGAGAACAGGGAGAAGTGTTGGCAACTGGGTCAGAACACCAGCATACCGAAGACCCAAGCTGGGTTGTTCTGGCATCTGGGATGTTCTCAGCCCTCCGAGATAAGCCATTGCCAGTCAAGCTTTCCTGCTAGCTTCTACAAATGCAATGGCCCTTCTTTATAAGAAGCTGGTGCCCCTTCTATTCCATTTTTAAAATATGATAAATGTACATCAGAGTCCAGATTAAAATCTAAAATCATTTCTTATGAGATTTAATTTGAATCAAACTCTCCACAAGTGATGGGCTGGTCCTGTCAGCCAGCCCCAGAATCCTATCACATCCTATCACATTACATCAGACTTGTTTGGGTTTTTTAATCTGAAACATTTTCCAGTGATCAGAGAGTGTCCTAAGAAAAAAAAAAAAGAAAAAGAAAAATGGATGTGTTTTCTAAATGTCCTGATTTTTAATAAAAAATAATAATTTTCAGATTTCTTCTCATTTTGCTAGTATTTTGGTATTCATTTTTTTTCACAACATTTGGGAAGAAATTAAAAATAAACAGCAGTGTTTCAAGTGTGTATTTACCATAATATTTTAACCAGCCCAAAAAATAATAGATTTGTAAAATTTGTAAAAAGAGTATGTATTTGTGCTGTGTCATATTTCACTTTGTGAAATGAATCAAGTATATTTCAGTAAAAGTAAAGGAAAGCAAGTTAACAATTTGTTTCAGTTGTTAAGCACAGGGAGCAAATGAGCATGGCTTCCCTCTCTTTTCACGTTCCTGGGCAAAATGTATGTATCTCTATGCATCTCTCTCTGCCCTGAGCAGTGAGTCCTACATTTACAGCACCCAAGGCATTCTTACTCATTACTACTTTGTACTGCTCTGCACTGATGCTACAAAAGAGTCAAGCCTTATATTTCACCTATTCAGTCTGTCCATCTATCTATCAAGTAGTCACCTTGCAACTGGGGTGTACTCACTGTGTTGTAGAGTTCTTCCAGTCGAGATATTGTAAGGAAACGGTGCATATTCACTCCATGCTCTATTAACAGTTTCACAAAATCCACCCGGTCCATCACTAAAGCATCCAGCATTGCTTGTTCTAGGGAGCCAACCTTGAAAGGAAGGTTAGGAGGAGGAAAAAGAGAAGGATGAAAAAAAGAAAAGAAAAGAAAAGCCCTTTTTTAAAAAAAAACCAAGTAAAACAAACCCTGAATAGCATTAAGGATCTCCTTAGTCAACACTTTGCTTTTCCTTACCACCATTCTCAGCGCACATCCTACTGGCCTTGTTAAGTCACTTTAGGTTCAGTAGTTAATGATTCTTAATTCAAAACTGCCCTATTTAGCATCTGACAAAAACAGAGGAACCATATATCAAGCATGGCCTACATAAGCCAGGCTATTTAAAAGAAAAGCTCTATAAAAAGAGAGGAAAAAAATCTGATAAATCAGAACTCTGAGAATGATAATAGAAAAAGATAAAGACACTGTGAAACACAGAGCTGTATCTTATTTTCAAACTGGAAAGCATTCTGATCATTCAGGGTGCAGAGAGACATGCAGCTCCCTGCTGTAACTCAGAGCGCTTTGCAGGAAGTGTCTGAGTTGCAAGGATCCCCTGGACCAAACAGAAGTTCACTACTGGTATCTAGTTGTTGCCTGCTGAGCCTGAGGCCAGTTTCACCTAGAAATGGCTCCTCCTCTCTCCCAGCCTGTCCCCATTTCAGAATGGGAGGGGGGGAAGGGAGCAAAGGGAGCTTATTCTAGGGGTTCCCATGCCAGCACAGGAAGGTGTCTTCTAAAAACAAGCAGAAAAAAAATGTGAAATTTAATATATGCTAAATGATAAAGACAGGCATAAGTTTCATAGTTGGTAGGGTCGGAAGGGACCTGAGCAGATCATCAAGTCCGACCCCCTGCCATGGCAGCAAAGGATGCTCGAGTCAAACGACCTTGGCAAGGTGGCTATCGAGCCTTCTTCTGAAGACCCCCAGGGTAGGAGTGAGCACCACTTCCCTTGGAAGTTGGATCCAGATCGTAGCCTCCCTGACTCTGAAGTAGCGCCTCCTGATGTCTAGCCTGAACCTACTCTCAGTCAACTTGTGGCCATTATTCCTAAGATACTACTGGTAGTGCTCGAGGAAACAGGGACTTTCCCATTCCCTGCTGGTCTCCCCTGGTAAGTATAGATGGCCACCATATCCCCTCTCAGCCTTCTCTTATGGAGGCTGAAGAGGTTCAGGTCTCATAGCCTCTCCTCATAGGGTCTGCCTTCCTGCCCCCTGATCACGCACTTGGCCCTCCTCTGGACCCTCTCGATACTGTCCACATCCCTCCTGAAGTGCAGCGCCCAGAACTGGACACAGTACTCCAACTGCAGCCTGACCAATGTTGCATAGAGGGGGAGGATCAACATGTGTTGAGGGGGTGGGGAAGCCTTTAAAATCCATCAGGTAGAATACTGCAGAGCTGAAACCTTTACTTCCACTACACAGACCTCTGCCACTTGAGCTAACAATGGAACTGACAGCAATAGTAAATTGTAATCCTCTCTGTAGATGAGCAGATACTTGGACAGTTGATTGAACATACTTTCTAACAACTAAGAAACTGTAATGTTCAAGACCTTAGGACATGTAGAGCCTTTGTAGATGCCTTTAAAGCTGGCCTTTAAAGCTGATTAAAAGTCCTTTTGCACCACTTTAATGGCATTGTTGTTTGCATGCATACCCACGTTTGCTTTACACAAAACCAAAGGAATCTAAATGAGGCAGCACAAAGCACAGGCAGGCAAATTTATCCTGTTTCTCATGAGTGCTAGAAGATTGGGACTGGGATTGGAAGACTTGAGAAATGAACGTTAAGGGGCTCCTACAGACATGCAGCAGTGCTGTAAATCCAATGCGACGGAGCAAACTTGATTAATCAAGTCTTCTGGAGTGCAGAAATTAATGTCTATAAATGCCCTAAGTACAACTATAAATGCCCTCAGTGCTTCAAAAGCATTTGGAGTGCTTTAAACAGCATGTCTTTCCATTGCCTAGGACAGCAGAACTGGTGTGAAAAGCCAGAAGTAGGGAAGGGGCAGGAAAATTTGGAACAAAGAGGGTAGGAAAGTCAGGTGTCTGCTCTTTTCCAAACATGAAGCCCATATAATTTTTTAGAATGGCAAAACCATCTAGTCAAATTTTCATAAACAGCTGGTCCATTTTAGCTTAAATTAGGCAAAGAAAAAGAAAAAAGAAAAAGAACAATTAGCTTGAAGCTACTGGGAAAAAAAGTGTTCTATAAAAGACACAGTTTTGTGTCTTAGTACCAGGAACCATTCCAAACCATGCTCATATTATAAATACAGCTGCAGACATGCAAATACATACCACAATCACAATTTAAATTAAGTAGGTACTGAGTATATGTTAGAAAATGAATTAAATGGACCTTTAGTCATAAGGCAAAACCTGAACTGTGTTCTTAGATTCTAAGGAACAAATTGGTTCTCAAAAATCCCAACACTATACCCCTATTCAACATGAAGGCATGGTGATGGAGAAAATATGAATACTCTCATATCACTCAAAATGAAAGTTAAGATTTAAAAGACATGGCTTTTTCACATAAGCAGTGGGGGAAAAAACTATAGTTTCTGGAAATGAATACTTAAAGAGAATTACTCACATTTCATTTACTGAAAGGAATACCTGTGTTCTTAATAAGCTAGCTATTTTCCTAAAGTTTTTCCATATGAATAAAATTCTGAACAGATGCCTTTAGACACCAGACACAAAATTGCACACAAACTCACATATAGGAAGAAAAACTCAAATACGGGCTTACATGAAAAAGTCTATTAGATGGGTTATCTAGTATGTAACTGATCTCTTGTCACTGTTCATTATTTCATAGGCATATATTTAACCTATAAACAAATCACATCTTTTATCAAATGCTGTTACCAAAAGACAAATATATAAATAATACAACATATCTAATTATACCATGTATCGTATAGTATGTTCTGGTTTATTGTTTTTCATTAAAAATACTTTGGTCATGCCTGCTCACGTCCTTGAGCCTGTAATTTCTGTACTATCAGGACCTCTAAAAAGAAGTATATTAATTCTCTGTGCCACTCATCTTTATATGGTGCCCTAAATTAACAAACCCAGTAATAGTTACCACAAATCACAACAGCAGCTAAAGGACATCTGATGAGATGGGAAAAAGCTGACAAAGAAAAATGGCAGTTCCAAATAACATTCAAGAAATATTCAGATGGAAAGAGACTTAGTAGAGACTATGGTGCTGTGTGGTAAAAGAACCTAAGTAGCCTACAAGGATAAGAAAACTGGTGCATTTCCAAGATTAAAGATGTTTACATCACAAGACTGGTAAACAAATTCAAACACCAAGTTACTCATCACCAGGAACAGCTGGTTAACCAATGTAAAACAACTGTGGAAATATATGGAGAATTAAAAATCACGGATGTAATACCCCACCCACAGTGGAAAAAATGTGAATTACCTTCCAGTGCTGTCCATAAACTAATATATGTTTCTTGGCAATATCAAGTCTATTCCAAGCCAATGCCAAATTTAGCTGATCCGGGGCAGACATATTTGTACCTAGAAAACATGCAAAGTCTCCAGTAACTTATCATACATTAACTTCTTTTTCTTCCTCTCTTTCAAGCACCTTGTCAAGGGGTCTACAAATCACAGAAAGAGAGGTAGAACTGTTAAATTAGTACCTTTCAAGAGTGCTGTCAGGATTGCCAGATCAATGTCCTGCTGTTCCTCTGACTCCGCATCAAATATCGTTATCTATGAGAATTATAAAAACATGTTGTGAGATGATGGAAAAGCCCTTTCAGGAAAACTGACCAGGCTTTGTTTTCAGTCTGTATTTGTTGTATATTGAAATAAATCTAGCTTACTAGTGTGTTTCCATGGGCATGACAGACCCTGGATGCAAAGTTATCAGCATGCAAAGCAACAACTAGCTAGCTAACTATGTAAGTCTTGAGTTTTCTCATCAGCTGCCCCTTGGAGCTGAGAAATCAAAAGATATAATGGCATCTAGGCACCTTCTCAAACAGTGAAAACATCTAAACATCCTATATGTAGAAAAACAGGTTTGAAATGTATGTTTAAACTATCACCATGTTAGCCTCTTGACTGAAGCAGCTGCTACTGAACATTCCCAGTACAGGGCATCCAACAATTGGGTGTCTGTGCTGTCAGAAGCTGGGATCTCTGAAAACCCTGCCACCCTCCACATTAATACTAGCAACAACCTACTCAGAGCTGAAGTAAGGAGTAGGGGCAACTGAGAACGATTCGCTTTTACCTGTGAGAAAGCACATATCTGGCCTTTTATTAAAAAGCAGAAAAAATGGGCAACTCACAAAGACGTGTTGAGAAGTTCAGTGATTAGCTTCTATGGAGATGAATAATACATAACAAAACCAATCCAACGAATACACAGGTTGGTGGTTGACCTTTTATATAATCAGGTCTTATTTTATATATAATATACATATTCCTTTTGAAGAATAAACCGAAACATACTGGGCCTCATTCTTCCCTCAGTTGTGGCTCATATTGTAGATATAACTAAGGACATTGTCCCATTATCTTTATATCAGATATATTATTTTAACAATCTCTGCATCCAAGTCAATCTTCTATATAACTAAAAAAAAGATTTTAGTGCTACACCAAATGAAAAGCTCATAAAATAAACACATTAATCCATCATACTCACAGATTCTCTGTGCTCCATACACTCCATCAGAATCTGAAATAGATGACGGGACTGTTTCTGCCCAAGATTAAAGGTGTTTTGAATCGTTACTAATATCTCCTCCTTCAGCTGAGGGCGCAACTCCCTGAAGAACACACACACATATATTCAACAATAGAGTTCCCTGATCCCAAAGATCTTTTTCAGAATATACTTTAGAAACAGAAAAAATCTGCGAGAGGTGAGCAGGAACTAGTACATAAAGAAACGCCTATTTTATCCTTGACTATATTGCGTGCACTCTTCACAATATCACCCAAACAGACGTTAATGTTTAGGCTGCCTAAGGAATCCATAGTCAAGCTTGGTGATACAGTGTGATGATGACAGTTGCTGGCAAAGCAAAGGACAAAGAGAAGATGAGAGGTTAAGAGTAGGTTGGGGCCAACTGATAAAGTCAGAGGGTGGCACTGGAAATGGCATTAGAAATAGGACTAGAATTGTGCTATGGTTGGGTATAAATCATGGGCCAAATGATGGGTCAATTGGTGGCTTCAGTGTTGGGCCAAGAGCTACTACTTAGCCTGGAAATGTTTAGATTTAGGCCTAATTAGGAGGACCAAGGCACTGATTAGCTTTGGTACATGATGAGGGTCCACAATCAAGATAAGAGAAAATTGGAAAGGTCTTTTGGAAATTAAAATATATATTTTCTGTTTGTGTTTACATTAGAAATTTCAGCCATGTATATTGTGTTTCCCTCAGAAAACTATAGATAACTTGAGATGTGGTAGGATAAACAGGTTTCTTAATGTAAATTAAACAGAGAGGTAAAGTGATCCCACACTGGGATCCAGACCACTTGATGGATGTAAAAACAGCACGAAAAAAGGTCAGAGCTGAGGGTAGCAGAGATCCACAAAGTGGAAACCTACAGGGATCCTCAGAGAAAAGGTTGCGTTTTGAGTATTCACAGATCCTTGAGCTAAGCATCAGCAAGCCAGAGTTGGGTCCTGCTAAAGTCAAGGTTGGAGCTTGCTGGCAGATTCAGGTTCACATGAGGGTCAACGTCAGTCTGTGATTCCAGGTGTGAGCTGGGGCTGACCCAAGAAATAGTTAAGAATGGGACTGGTAACAGGATTTGCACCAAGAGTAGGATAAAGCAGAGTTTGTTAGGGTGACCAAGGGTGAGAATAGGGTGATATTATTTGCTTCGTACCCTAACAAAATTTTGCTCTGGGTCCATTGAGTGCCTTGGGGAAATGGACATCTCAAATCAGTTATGCCAGGAGTTTTGAGTTCTAGAGAGGCTCCCTACCTCCAACCCTATTTCTAGCTCAGGGATACCAATGGATTTTGATCCTAACTATACCCCAGACAAGTCTACAGTCCCCAACTCCTACCTTGCTCAGGGAGTCCTAACCCCATCCTGGTGAGCCGTTAGCCTCCAAGTTTAAGCTTATTCTGGACTGAACTACAGCCCCATTCTATATTCAAATGACTTCAGTACATTTCTCATCTTCTGTGGGATTTGGAGTCAGGTGTTTTCAATGCCTCACCAAATTGCTCAAATAGAAAACAGAACAAACAAACCAGGCAGCATTGCCTCCAGCTACTCACCCCACATCTGCTGTGTGCTTGTGTGCAAAAGCCAGGAGATCTGCAGCTCTGCCTGTGCCCTCACAGACCACCACTGGGATAGCTGGAGTGTCTCTTACATACTCCCAAACCATAAGGATCACATTTGGGCCTCCTTCCACTACCAGCCCAACCACTGGTACACCTTGGCCCATTCCTGTTTCAAACCACATACAACCAGTTACCAACAGCACAGGTCTCAGTTCCACAATATAGGTCTGCCAAATAGCATTGATGAAAAAAATCTAAGAGAAACTATGAAAGAAAGGAAGGAAACATTGCTTTCAGTTCCCTCACTTTACTTCAGGTATTTCAAGGCTGACTTTCAGAGAACCTCTGCCATTAAAGCAGAAGATCCTTGAAAATCCCTGGGTGAGATTATAAATGGTCCCAGCACTGGGAAGGAAAGAAGCCCAGGAAATTCTTGCACGGTTTGCAAGAGCCATCACACATATAAACAAGTGTTTACACAACAATTTACATGTATACACACAGTGAAGCAATTAAATTTCTCACGTATTTTGGAGGGACGTGATTTAGTTTAATAATTTGAAATAACTCGTAGAGGAGTAGAAATACAGGGAATAAAAACAGAAATGATAAAAGCCCTAATTTTCAATGCGTGGATTCTTAGCTCTTTCTGAAAATGATGGACTGAGAGAAGACAGAAACTAAGACATCCAAAGCAACTAATAATGTTCCAGTCAATTGACTGTCACCATTTGCTTTTCAGACTTATCTTCCTAAGTGCTGCTCTCCCACCCACCATGAAAATGCCTGGCCCACCACAGGCACTGCTTAACGTCTTAGTGACCTTTAAAATACAATTCTTCAAATGGTGATAAAAGTAACACCATGACACTCACGAGTGTGTATTTTCTGAAGGGATATGTATTTCTCTAGACTCCTCCTGAGCATCATCTCGTTGCCATATTTTCCCACTGTCCCATCATCCACCAGTATGAAATGGGAGTGCATACTGTTGAGGGTGCTCAGCTTGCTGAGAGGATTACCAAGAGTCTGATATAGGCAAACCACCTGAGGAAAATCAAAGTAAAAAGCATTTCAAAGAAAGTAAGAGAACATCACTAAGGATGCAAGGTGACTTGCACAGGATTCATTGTTTCACCATGCACTTAATTTTAGCTTCTCCAAGGGGGGGGAAAAAAAATCTCCTTTCAATGTACCTTGGAGGAGTACCACTGGCCAATCTCCTTAATATTTGTAGAAACCACACTGGAAGAAAAAAAGGTCCAAGGCTCGGTTCCATACAAAATATAGGGAAGAAAGGGGAAGCAGAAGAGGAGGGGCAGTGCTAAGAGAAGCAAACAGGTAATAATGCTATTGTCCCTATGGAGGTATTGATTTTTGTGTGCATCTAACCTGAGAGCTAACTGGAACCTTTCTGTCAACATTTTTCTGTGGAAAAAAATTAAGCTCCCACAAACTCATATTATTTCTACAGGAAAAATTAATATTTTCTCTGGGCTGTGTTATCTTATCAGAGTGGTAATTTGGATGCTTCAGTCCCTTCTTTGGGTTTTAGGATGCCCCCCCTTACTACAGCATGAGCTCCTTTTGTCCATGGTGCATCACAGCCCAGTTTAGGAGTCCAGCTCATAGGAAAGAAAGGGGACATGAAACACTTGTGCAGAAGCCAGTAAGCACAAATGACAAATAGAAATTATGTAAGCAAATTACCTATTTGTGTGCATAACTACTACATATGTACAACCTTACCTATTTCTACATCAATCAATTAGCTAAAACTAAATTTATGGTCATGTTTACATTCTTATTTATGGAATAATAGATAATAATGGATCTTTTGTACATTTTGTAGGTATTAATCTGTTGCCGAATTTTTAAAAACATTCAGAAAGTAATGCAACATTTCTGAAAGGGAAGATTATTCTTAAACTTACTAATCTACACGTGAAAAGCACCCTGGTTGTAGCTGCATTGGTCTAGAGGTAAACGGAATCAAAACTCGTGAAAGAATAAATAAATAAATAAATAAATAAATACAATAAAATAAAATATCTAGTTGGTCTAATAAAAGATATCAGCTCTTCCATTAATTTTGATTCCAGAAGTAAGGTACAACACCTTAGTGTGCAACACTTACTGCTACTTAGTAAGATCTAGAATTTCTTCTATTCACACCAAATATTGAGGGTGCTTGTACACTTGATGCAAACTGGCTGTTTTTGTGGTTTAATTGTGTCAGGCTGTACATTTAACCAGAGTTTGCTACATTGCAAATTAACCCACATCTACATTTGGTTTAGTTTGCAACATAGATATTTGTAACATTACAGCCTTTGACAGCTTTCCCTACACCCCCTCCTCCCCTCCATCCCCTGGCACAGGAGAGGCAGGCAGAAGCAGTGAGGGGCCCAATCCCCCCCACCCCCAGC